TGCTTTTATAGACCTCTATCATATTCCCCCTCAGTCTCCTCTTTTCTAAGCTGAAAAGTCCCAGTCTCTTTAGCCTCTCTTCATATGGGACCTGTTTCAAACCCCTGATCATTTTAGTTGCCCTCCCCTCTCCCACCCTCTCTCTTCCCCTCTCCCACCTCCTTTTCCCAGTCTCCCCCAGTTTTGTTCAATAAAGAGAGTTTCTATTTTTGAACACACGTGTCCTTTATTTTGTACATCAGGAAGGGGGGCTAGGGAGGAGTAAGTGGAAGGAGGTGAGGGAGGAATGGGGTATGAGCCCCCGATGGGGAGGACTGGGGTGGCTCTGCGGGCTCCTCGGGGTGGAAGCTCTCCTGCAGTTGTCCCCCCCCAGATGGCAGCCTGCGGCAAGTGCAGCCGGGCTGATGGCCGAGTGCTGTGATGTGCCGAGTGTGGGCACTCCGGGCACTCCAAGCCAGGACTGCTTTGCAAGCAGGGCACCCCTGAGAACTGTCTGTCCGGGGTTGGTGTCAGGTCCAGTTAAACAGAGCCCTCGGCTAGCCTGAGGCAGCAGCTCCCTGCTCTAAGTCCTCATCTGATGCCCTGCCGGCACTGCTTCCGGCCATCCTTAACCTCTGTTCAGGGTCCACTCTGTGTGGACATGCTAGTTCGAATTAGCAAAACGCTAATTCGAACTAGTTTTTAAGTCTGGATACGCTAATTCGAATTAGCTTAGTTCGAATTAACTAATTCGAACTAAGTTAGTTCGAATTAGCGCTGTAGTGTAGACATACCCTAACAGACTTGCCTTGTGAACAACAAAAATGATGCCACACTGAAGGCGGCCTATGAACAGCTAGCGAATGTCAATGGTTCCGTGGTGGACCCACAGAAAGCCTCCCAGGGGCCTTGCTTTGAGCTGAAGGCTGATTGCCTCTACCGGGTCATGTGAGATCCCTGCACCCCAGATACTCAGCTGCTTGTACTCCGGTGCCATCGCAGAGCGGTTTTGCGACTCGCGCATGATATTCCCACAGTGGGATATCTAGGAACGAAGAAGACTCTGGCGACGGTACTATCGAGGTTCTTCTGGCCGGGTGTACATCATGAGGTAAAAAATTACTGTCAGTTGTGTCCAGACTGCCAGTGGTCTGCTGACCCAGGGGTTTGGAAAGCCCCATTAGTTCCCCTGCCGGTAGTAGGGACCCCCTTTGAATGGGTGGCCTTTGACCTAGTTAGTCCCCTATCAAAAAGCAAAGCAGGATTTCATTACATCTTGGTCCTAATGGACAACGCCACACGATTTCCTGAAGCCATACCACTCTGAAACATCTACGCTCGGACGATTGCGTCGGACCTAGTAAAAATCTTTGCCCGAGTAGGACTCCCCAGAAAGCTTTGGACAGACCAGGGTGCTAACTTTACTTCGCAGTTACTCTGATAGGTCTGTGCATTGCTGGGCATAAAGAAGCTACAAACATCTGTGTACCATCCCAAAACTGACGATCTAGTTGAGCATTTTAATTGCATGTTGAACGGGATGCTAAAGAGGTTTCCACTCTCTGAAGTGCAACAGTGGGACCAGCTGCTTCCTCCACTACTGCTAGCTATGTGAGAGGTACCTCAGCGTTTTTCTCATTCAAAATAGCGCGTCCATATTGAGTGGACCCTGAATCGAAGGTAAGGCTGGCCGGAACCAGTGACAAAAGGGCATCACGGTCAGACTTAATGTGTGGGGCTGCTGCCTCAGGCTAGCTGAGATCTGTGCTTAAAGGGACCCAACCCCCCATCCCGGACAGACAGTTCTCAGGTTTCTCTGCGTGATGGTCTACCTTGCTGAGAGATAGCAAAGCATTTGTGTCTCGGAGTGCTCTGCTTGCCCTCACTCGGGACATCACGGCACTCTGCAACATGGAACCAGACCTGCCTCTGGGGACTCTGCTGCGTCTCGTGGACACGTTTCCAGCAGCCTGGCTGCGCTGTCTGCAGGCTGCCATCCGGGAGCACCATCGAGGGGCTGTCAGGATCCATGGGGCCCTGTGGGAGAGCTTCCACCCTGAGGAGCGCTAACAGTCTTCCCGCTCTGCCCCACTGGGTGGCTTGTGCCTCATTCCTCCCTCACGTCCTTCCACTTACCCCTCCCTAACTCCCCTTCCTGATGTCAAATAAAATACACGTA